GGCGGTGGTGCCAAGAGCTCGGCCACGGTGAGCCGCAACCTCAACCGCTTCTCCACCTTCGTCAAGTCTGGCGGGGAGGCCTTCGTGCTGGGTGAGGCGTCGGGTTTTGTGAAGGACGGGGACAAGCTGTGCGTGGTGCTGGGCCCCCGGGGCCCCGAGTGGCAGGAAAACCCCTACCCCTTCCAGTGCTCCATCGAGGACCCCACCAAGCAGACCAAGTTCAAGGGCATGAAGAGCTACATCGCCTACAAGCTGGTGCCCAGCCACACCGGGCAGCAGGTGCACCGCCGCTACAAGCACTTTGACTGGCTCTACGGGCGCCTGGCCGAGAAGTTCCCTGTCATTTCTGTGCCCCACTTGCCAGAGAAGCAGGCCACCGGCCGCTTCGAGGAGGACTTCATCTCCAAACGTCGCAAAGGCTTGGCCTGGTGGATGGACCACATGTGCAGCCATCCTGTGCTGGCTCAGTGCGATGCCTTCCAGCACTTCCTTACCTGCCCCAGCACAGATGAGAAGGCCTGGAAACAAGGCAAGCGCAAGGCTGAGAAGGATGAGATGGTGGGTGCCAACTTTTTCCTGACCATCAGTGTCCCCACAGGCCCAGGGGCCAGCCTGGACTTGCAGGAGGTGGAAAGCCAGGTGGATGGCTTCAAAGCCTTCACGAAGAAGATGGACGAGAGTGCCCTGCAGCTTAATCACACGGCCAACGAGTTTGCCCGCAAACAAGTCACTGGTTTCAAGAAGGAATACCAGAAGGTGGGGCACTCCTTTAAGTGCCTCAGTCAGGCATTTGAGCTGGACCAGCAGGCCTTCTCGGCTGGCCTCAACCAAGCCATAGCCTTCACTGCAGATGCCTACGATGCCATCGGGGACCTCTTTGCAGATCAGCCCCGGCAGGACCTAGATCCTGTGATGGATTTGTTAGCGCTGTATCAGGGGCATTTGGCCAACTTTCCAGACATCATCCACGTCCAGAAAGGTAACATCCTTATGTGTTTTCTGAAATGATGAAGTTTTATGTATCAGTGGTATGCACACAGATGTAACATCCAGGGGCTGAATTTGCCCTGCGTCTGACTTGCTGGCCTTGGGTTAAATCTTTCCATATTTACTTAGGTAGACTTGCAAAAAAAAAAAAAAAACCACATCAGTGACAATTTTTGTTCTATGCCAAAGGTCTAGACATAGTTGGGAACTTTGCTGGTCAGAGGTTGCTGTGTTTGGCTGGGTATCTCTGAAGAAGAAACCACATCTGCTTATACCACTGATACATGAAAGATTAATGGGCTTGTTTACGAACCCTGGAAATCAAGTGGTATGAAAACGTATTACTCTCTGATGTACGTTAGGTATCTTAAGTCTCTGATCTACTAGATCATAAATATGAAGTAATCCGAAGGTGCAGGTACTTCTCTGGTTGACACCTTGTTTGAGGTGCACATGGTGGCATGTGGATTTTTGCAGTGTCAGACAGTCAGATGAGAGGTTTAAAGATGCTGGGGTTTCTCAGTTCAGCCATGCATTAAACTCTCATGGTGCTTTAGAATGCTGTGGCAGACCACTATTCTTTCATAGTTTGAGTTGTTCATTCTTTGCCCTTACTATCATAAAAAGATGTTGCTCACCTGTTATCCTTCCAGCATCTTTCTAGCTGACACATGCTTCTGAGGTTCAGATTGCTGTTTGTATGGTGCTTTGTGATCCATCAGAGAGAAAGAAGCTTCAAAAATGAAGGAATTACTGCTATATAACTAGTGACGCTTGTTCAGATGAATAGGAGTTTGTAGTACTACAAATGTAGATGATTTCCCTGCTGTGAAATTAATGATATTCCTATATTCTTCACCATTGTGAGAAGACTAGCCCATCATTAATTGTTTTTGCTGTTATACTCCTTTACCTGTATTTTTCAACTCGAAGCTCAGGGGTGCGTGGGGACTGGGGCTGTAAAATAGACCAAGAAAACATCATGTGTGCTCTGCAGAAATGTGTGTATGTGTAACAGTTGCCCCCAGAAAATGCATGAGCTTTATTGAAAATTATTTTGGAGATTAATAAGTGGTGTTCTGCATCCCAAGAGGCAGAGCTTGAATTGTCACCCACGGTGAATCAGTCTTTTGTGCCTTTACATGACATTTCCAGGGGTTTTGCATCTGAAACAGTACGTTGAGTTTGATGGTAAAAGAGTTGGAAGAATTTTTTCAACAGATATAAAAAGGCAGGCTTTGTGAGTTATGCGTTACTGCTGAGAAAATCTGATTAAAAAGTGCCCGATTTGTTGTTATTTAAGAAAGTAAGCTTTTCATTAAAAAATACATGCATCAAAGTCAAATTTCTGTTCTCTTGTTGAATCTTTCAAATTGTGAGTGGAAACTTAAACAAGCTTAATATTATTTTGGAGAGAAAAGGGAAGCGTGCAATCCAGCCTTTGAGGAGTTGTTCTGCTAGCTGCAGTGGCATTGTGTCCTGGTAAAACAACTTTCAAGTATTTTAGATTTGGAGAGAAGAGTGGCCTTGGCAATTCCCTGTGTTTGGGAGTAGAGCATTTTAAAGTGAGTTGTTAACCAGTCATATGATTATCTGAAGCTTCTCGAAAAAGATAAAGGGGAAGGGTTTTTTTATTAGGTGGAAAAAACCAGCAGATTATATATGCTATTTAAATAATATATTCTCAAGCTTTAAGGCTATATAGAGTTTTTCATTGTAGTATTTTTGGAGATGAGACTTTGAAGAGAGGATTGGGAATTATGAGATATGTGCTTGATTCACCCCTGTTTCTTTTACAGTTATGTCTGATTTGTGCTTATTGGTTAGGCTTACATTGCTGAACTGGGAAATGTTCATCTGAATGAGCTTCCACTAGCGTGATGCATGATTTTGTGCCAGAACACTGTCCTGGAGCTCATTGGAGAAACATACAGCCAGTCTATGTGCAGGTGTTAATGCTCTAGCACCTCTGGGCTAACACTGCCTTCAACACAAGATTATCCCTGGTACCTAATTGCCATCAGAAAATGAGCTTGAGAGATTGATCTCTCGAGTGTCCACATTCGGGATAGGAACAGGTTACGCGTTTGTTGTTGTTCCTGTTAGGAAACAGGCAAACTGTAGGAAAACTGAGAGGAAGATATTTTTTTACACCCACTGTATTGCTCGTTTATTACTCTTTAGGAGTTACTGGTAGCAAGGTATAACTTTTCAATTCCAAATTGTAAATTTCAGATAAAAATATGGACTGTTCAATGAACCTACAACATAATAGCTTTCTTTTAAATTTACTATCTGGGATAGTTGCCAGTTTTGAGAATTACTATTGTCTGTATAGACTAAACAAATATCTGTGGGTGGTAATAGATCATCTGAAAAATAGAGTTGATGTCTTTCTTCAAGTGTTTTATTTTCTAGTGTAGAACTTCTTTGTGCAGTAAAATGACCTCAAAGTGCCCTTAGAAATGGTAGAAGTAAGCAGCCTGATTGATGGATTGCTTACATGGACATGCCTTTAAAAAGATGTACTCTGAAGTTAGGAGTAGTTCTCCTTTGTTTTCTACATAGTGCAAATAAATTGTCCACCTGGGATAAAAACCCAGGCCTTGTCTGGACTCCATTTCTGTATTCCCCTAGACCTGAGAAGGACCGAAAAAATAAAGGCAGCTGCGCCCGAAACATGCTTATATCTGTCAGTAGAATATTTAACTGCACTGTCCTGTTGTGGGTTTGCTGTACTGCAGATAGTTGAACAGCTGCAGAATGTGATTTGGAAGTGTGTTTTGTGGTATGGACTGAGAAGTCTGCATGTCTAGAATTTTTTAATCATTTCTGCAACTTCTGCAAAAAGAAGGACAGAGAATCTGTAAGTCAGAGACAAAAGTTTGCCTCTGTTTGGGCTTTCTCTTTTTTCCTAGAATTATGAACCAAAGCCATGTGAGCCCTGCTGTTGCTTTGTTTTTAGGAAACGTTAACTGTTGTACTTTTAATTGCTTTAGGGTCCAGGTCTTTCTGCCCCCTATGCTGAGAACATCATACATGATCTGAAGTGTGCAGAAAGGGATTGTCATTTTGGTCACTTGTTAAAACATGTGAACCAATAGAATCATTGAACAGTTTCGGTTGGAAGAGACCTTCAAGACCATCGAGCCCAACCTTTGTCCTAGCTCTAGCAACACCACTAAACCATGTCCCTAAGTACAACATCTACCTGTCTCTTAAACACCTCCAGGGATGGTGCCTCCACCACCTCCCTGGGCAGGCTGTTCCAATGCCTGACAGCCCTTTCAGTAAAGAAATTCTTCCCAATATCCAGCCTGAACCTCCCCTGGTTCAGCTTAAGGCCATTTCCCCTTGTTCTATCGCCTGTTACTAGGGAGAAGAGACCGACCCCTGCCTCGCTACAACCTTGTTTCAGATAGTTGTAGACAGCAATAAGGTCTTCCCTCAGCCTCCTCTTGTCCAGGCTGAACAGCCCCAGATCCCTCAGCTGCTCCTCATATGAGACATGCTCCAAATCCTTCACTAGCTTGGTAGCCCCCCTTGATACCCTCTCCAGCACCTCAGTGACCTTCTAGTAGAGAGGGGCCCAATATTTTCAAACTTTTTCTTAGCTTATTAATATTGCAAGTATTTTATGAAATGGCAATAGCTTCAACAGGAGATTTTAAAAGATTCCTTTCCTTCCGCCTCCTTCTTCTTGAGCACTCAGTGTTTAGGGAATTTTCTGTGGGGGAAGGAAGAGTTGAAAGTTCCTGCTCCAGAAGAGACAGAGGAAGGATTTGAACTTCTCTGTCCCACATGCCAGTTGAGGATCAATTTGTCAGTGCTTTGTGAAAGCCTTTGCACGGTTTCATCTGTGCTTCAGCCCAGGTCTGAAGGTTCATTGGATTGAGCCCTACAGCAAAGAATTTGTCGATCTGGAAACCTGGCATTTCCGTCTGGAAGTGCTTGGTTTGAGAGCCCCACTGAGACTGGCACAGAGCATATCAGCCCTGAAGCATACATCTGTTACAAACAACTTGTTGTTTTGTAAGTTTTGTTTGGCAAACTAAACAATTAGGGGAAAACTGGAACCTGTAGGGGTAGATAATGGCAGAGTGGTGTCCCAAACATCTGAGCACCCAGATACTTGTATGAATCTAGCCCTCAACCCCCCATAGGTAAATGCTTCTAAAGTGCTTGCATGAAAGTATTCACTTGCCTACCTGTGTTTTTTGGAGTGCAAGATCCAAATATGTTAGACAGATGTACTTAGTTTTCTTTAGCCTTTGGCAAAACATTTTAGAAGAGGAATATTCCTCAGTAGGCTCAAAAACTAAGCTGCACTTTTGTAATTTTCTTTTGCAGAACTTAAGAAATAATAGATTCACTTGCTTTAATTTTGAGAAGAAAAGCAGCCTCCCAACCTCATCTGCAGTGGATAATACCTTCTCTTCTGTGTTTTTGAGGTCTACTTGTGGAAATTCCCTAGGCATTCTTGGCAAAATAATTCTTAAATATTAATTGCTAGAGCTTCGCTCAGGTGATGAGATCTTCTGACTTCAGTAATCTTCAATATAAATGCTCACTGCAGGCCCATGCAAGTTCAGGTTCAGAAAATTTATGCATGTGTGAGAATTTGGGATAGTGTATCCTAGTGCTCTAGCTCATGCTTGTCTGGCTGTCTTGTCTTCATACTTGCTTAGTGAGAGTAGAGAAGTTACGGGTTTTTCTGATTTCTTTCTTTCAAGTTTTGTTTGAGGAATTACTATAATTGGCCTCTTGTGATTCCTGAAAGTAGAAGAAATACTGACTAACTTGCTGTTTCATTGCTGCTTTCCGTGTTTCTCCTTTCTTGTAACATTATGTTAACTGTAGACAAACTTGGTTTAGACAAACTTGGGTTTTGGTTATGATTTTTGCAAAACTGATTTGAGAAGGCAGTCTAAGTGTTTTCTGAGATGTAGGCAGCAATTCCATTCCCTCTGCGTGCCAAGATTTAAGAGAATT